AGAACAGATCTCCCAGGTTTTCTAAAGGAGAATTCTGCTCTGAGTGTTTATATTTCCCTCTGTGGGTTTTTGGGGTGTGTGTGTGTGTGTACTGACTTGGTACAGATTTTGTAATGCGGAGAGAGATTTTACTTGACTTGGTTTTGAGATTGATTTTATTGCGCTTTTGGTTAAGATAAAGTAGAGCATGCTCTGTTTGAACAGTTTCCATGATTTGAAAGCACAATTGGCTTGGAGATGAGACTTTGTTAAACCAACAGAAACTTGTGCGTTAAAGTGCTTTGGCATGCTAAAGAGAAATCAGACTCGTTTAAATGGCCTTGGTGTCGAATTGTAATTAAATGGAAAAATACAACTGCCATGCAATCTTTATGGCTTTCAAAAAAGTGGATTTCTCCCCGCAGAAAGCGATGTTTACTGCTTTTTCTAGAATTGTGGCATTCAGTTATGCGAAGGTCTAAAAATAGACCTTGGAAAGGATGTATTCAACTGTACAAACAAAGACCCGCTCAGCCAATGCAGGTAATGAGGCTACAAAATGGAAAAAACATGTAGGGTTGAAGACAGTAGAAAAACATTCACCGAAAGGGCACAAGGCACCAGACGTAGGACTTTACGTCGCTGGCTGTGGTAGTCTGCGTGGTTGCCTGGATCCAGCCAATTGTTAAATGTCCTCTCGGTTTTCAGGCCCGGCTGCCGTTCGATGGCTGCAATAATGAGCACATCTGCAAGTATTAAAACTATCTCTAGCAGCGCTCACGTTAGACTAACTCATTTTTCCTCCTCTCGTTTGTGTTTTCCATCCTTCTTCCGCCGTTGTCGTGAAGCGCTTTTTTCCGCTGTTAGAAGAGCCGCTGAAACGAAAGCAGCCTTCCCCTCGCTCCTTTTAAATCCGTAATTAACGCGTTAAGAGATGTGACAAGGTTGCTCGGTCTAGTCCAGCAGCATCCAAAAAGCCACTTTCACTGCGGTGTTTGTGGAGCGTCGCTGTTCCCCTTCCTGTTTTCACAGCCTCTGAGTGCTTTCCTCGAGTTGATCCGTGGCTGTTGAAATTGTTCTAAATAAAATCAAACAAAGCTAAAAAAAGCCAGCCACGGAAGCCAGAGCGGCGGTGAAACTGCAGACGTCTAAATGTTGCTGCAATACGGCCGAAGGTTCAAGCTCAGGTTAAAAGAAAATCTTGTAAAAGTCATGGGCTCTCTCTCCGAAATAATCTTCCCAATGTTTGAAAAATATGTGTGTGCTTTAAAGCTGATTATAGCCTCTTGTGGAAGAATTTAGACGTTGGTTATTTAGGCGGTGCAGCTGGTGACAAAATGACTGCAGAGCTAGTTTATTAAAACCTTTAACCCTGAAATATTTTTATTATTTTTTTTTTCAGCTTGACAGCTGCAGCTTGATGCAACAGTAGTTTTGCCTGGGTGATTAATGTACGGGCAGTCTGGCTGGTGTCAGAAAGGGTAGGGCAGAGCTGGTGCGCTGTGAAACTTTGCTCCGAGATCTAGAGAGCCCCTTGAGCGGCGGGGAGAGGAGATACCCGGCGTGAATGTGAATTAACGCACTTACGTGATTAGAATGGCTTGCGTTGGGCTTTTTTTTGCGACGAGAGGTTTCTGTTGTTTGTCGACTGCAGACCAGAGTAGCGCTATTTTGCATGATGCAACTTAAAAGTATTATTATGAAGCCCTAAATGTAAATCCTAGTGGACCAATAATGCTGTAACAGTTCCTGTTATAATCCTGCTTCTCCTGGACCCAGAGGGGCTTGCTTCTGAAAGAGGGCTGCTGTTCCTGTAAAATGTTTTCCTTAATGGCACTGATGAGCGGGAGAACTTATTCCTCAGCATCTGAACTCGAGGTTCAGCCTCTTCTCAGTGTGCTTGCTTTCTGAGTTGTCTCGTGAAGTCAATGTTAACTGGGTGAGGCAAACTCAGCAGAAACTAGTTTGAATTATGCCTCGCTCATTGAGCTGTATTTCGGTCAGTAGCAAGTGCGTATATATCCTGTGCACTTCAAGGTTGAATGCCAGTTTATACTAACCTGTATATGGGTTGTTTTTCTAAGGTTCCATTTGTTGTAACACTTACGTCACCAGTTCAAGAGAAAAGAGGTAAAACTGTTGGGAAATAAGTTCCATCCTTGGTAGGGAATCCTCTCCTGTGCCTGATGGCTCAGCCTGCCTCCCTCCCTGCCACACCACCAGCAGTGTCAGTCCAAGGTGTTACCTCCGTTCACAGAGAGTTACAAAAATCGTGAGAAGGAAAGAAAGAGATAAGCAGTTACTGTATGGTTTTGGTTGATATTTTCCTGTAGTAGTTTCTCCTTCCTAGATTTTGTCCGAGATCGAAACTGCAAGTGCCTGAACGAGCTACTCTGATGGTATCTTCAAGCAGTCAGAATTTGAGCCCACGAGAAGGCTCTTTGCAGGAAGACTTGAAATACCGTCTGTTGGCTTGTCAAGCATGGGGTTTGAACAGCCCTAAATTCTGTTTTTCAGGAAGCTCTGTCAGCCGCAGAACAGCAGTGGTTTTCAAGGAGAAGCGCCTTCCCTGAGTCCACCAAAAGACAACGTGAACTCCAGCTCTCCTCCTCAGGTAGGTGATCCCTCTCCGAGGGTGCTGGGTCTGGTTAGCACAGAGGCAGCGATGGGCTTCGTCAGCTCTCGATGGAGCTGGTCGCTGGACATGGGTCCGGGCTGAGCTGTTGGGCCTGTCTGCGCACTGTAATCACCTGCTGCTGGAGGCTGTTAGGTCAGGAGGTGGTTGGGGTTGGGGTTTTTTTTTCTATTTTATTAAGTTAGAGTCTAATTCTGGGTTTCCTCAGCATCTGTTTCTCCTCTGGATGTGGTTCAGTGACGGAGGATCTCTGACATTGTGTCTCTGGTTTAGTTTTAAGGGCTACATTTTTTTCACAGTGCCTACATCCCTCTTGGAGTTCCTGGGAGAACGAGCCCGTGTTTTACTCATTACTAATAATTGACTGGAACCAAGCAGTAATAAGTAGCTCCCAAACACGGTTAAGTTATTAAAAACCGTGACCTTTTGCAGCCTAATTGCCGTGACAGATCAGGGGCAGGTTGGCCCGCGCTTTGATTTGTTGAGATGCCAGGGCATGGAGCTGTGAGAAGCACGTTTTGACTGTTTTTTCCATGATAACAACCTGCAAAGGAGCTGCGTTTGCGTGCGTGTGAGGCAGAGTCCGGCCCCACTCTTCTCAGTATCTCTTAGCCCAGGCATTTCTTGCTCGCGTTGTGAAATGCCGGCTTCCCTTCTCCGCCGTGGGTCAGCCCAGACAAGTTGAGTATTTATTCTCCTCCTGCCAATGGAATGTGTAATGCCTACTTGTCTGGACAGACGCACTGAGGATTAGTGGCAAAGAATATTAGCAGGTAAAGAAATTATGTGCTTTCTGGCAGTGAGAGGGAGGCAGTTCTCTATTGAGAACAAGAACTTGTTTGCCAGGTAGCTAATTCCAAATCCTCTGCTGTGGGCATGTTCCTGGTGAATAAAGAATGATCCCCTTCGTTTGAGTTAGCTTGGAAAGACACGGTGCTGTTAAGAGGCTGGTCTTGTGTTTTTGTTTACCTGATTCTGGAAAAAATGTAGGTTGAAAAATCGTCTCGCTTCTGGCCGTACGTATTCTGACAGGCGCGAAGGTCCGTGGGGGATGTTTCTGGTCTCTTGAGATGACCCAGTTGAAATTTTGGGTGGTTGATGGGTTTGGATCTAGAAAAGGCTAGCGAAACAGGGGCAACCAAACATGGAATATAAATGTTTCCAGCAGTGCTTCTAACATGGCTTGTGTCAGACAGCAAACCACAGACAGCTTCTTATTGTAAGCAGTCGGGGTTTTTTGATGCTCTATAGCTGTAGTTTCCCTTTAGAGAAGGGATGCCTGCTAATGGTTGCTGTCCCAGCAGGGGACTGGGATTTGGTAGCCTGGAATGCAAAATATTTTGGGAAGGTTCAGTCGTGGAACAAAGGTGAAGAAAAACATTAGTCTGGTAATTGTCAGGAAGCGTGGCAGAGCAGGTATTGCGTGAAGGGACCACCTCGTAACCAAAGAGGTAAAGTTGGTGAAGCTGGTGTTTGTTGGCTTGAGAGAAAGGATCCCAAAAGATGGCAGTGCTTAGATCTGTCGCCTGTAGTCACAGCGAGCGGCCCCTCCTTTTGGGAGCTGGACACTGCTCTGTGCTCTGCTGGGAAGGCGGGCGGTGATGTTGCAAAGCCGGTTCGACGTGCTGTCCTTGCCCCTTGAGCTCTGCGGCAGTAGGAGCTGCTCCTCTTCAGAATTATCCTGGCAGGTGGAAAGGGTTCCTGCCCGCTCGGCAGTGTCCTTGAGACCCCTGGAGTTCGCGAAGAGAAGTAATAACTCGGAAAGGTGGGAGTTGGTGGCTGCCTGGCAAAGCAGCCGCGCGTCCAGCGGCGCTTCTGTGACGGAACAGCATTTCCATTTTGCAAACACATCGCGGTCCTGCCCGAGACACAAAGAAAACAATAAAATATCCAAAAGAAATAACCAGAACTATCGCTCCTTTTCCTCTGGGCACTAAATAATCTTCCCTCTCAGAGTCTCTGCAGCCCTGCGCAGGCACACACCGCTGCACTGATGGCTGTCCAAGGTGATTTTGGCTGGCTCAGGCTGGACGGAACCCAACGGCCCCATAGTTCTGCCTCTGCGTTGAGCTCTTCTTTCTGCTGACTGACAGATGGGCTCTTTACGGTGCAGCTTCCCCAGGGTAACACAGTCTGTGGGCAACAGCTTACTGGGAGGTATGGGCACATGGAGCTGCTCCAAGGCCCGCCTGTGACTGTGCAGGGCTGATGGGGACAGTCGGGAAGCCCCTTCTTTCTATGCTTTTTATTTAAAAAAGGAATACTGGGGCCATGGGGACCTGTGTGACGTGGCTTTTAAAACTGCTGCAAATGTCCTCTTTTGCCTGAAATTCTGAGAACTTAACAGTCGACACTTTCTCGTTCTGGGAAATGCCCCTTTTTTGAGAAGAGGAAGGAGTGGTATTGCAAGGGTAAAGTTGTTGACCACAGAGTTGGTAAAATCAGTTGGGAATGAAATGCAGGACTTGTGAATCCCTCCCTGCTCCAGAGGTCTGAGCGTGTCTTTCCTTTGCAGGGACTTTGAGGTGCTCTAAATGTCATGCCACGACCAGAAGGACGGATGTTTTTATGGTGGTTTCCATTCTCTAAGTGGCTGGGACAGGGGAGGGGTGAAGGACAGGGTTTTACTTCTCAAGGGCTAGATTTGAAGTAAGATGCAGCGAGAGCAGGCTCTGGGTCACATGGGCTGTGTATGAATAGTGCAGGAGATCGATAATTGTTGATGTGATGGTGGGTTTCTATAAGCTCTTCCACCGAGCAGTGGGCTCCAGAGCACCTGTTGGGATTGTCGGGAAGCGGCTTGGGATGGAGCAGCTTCTGTAGGACCTGGTGGTCCTGGAGCCTGTCCAGGACCAGCCCCTGAGCTGGGGACACTTGCTGGCAGCTCTTATTGATAGCAGAGCTCCTATTCTGGGGATGCTCCCTTGTTCTCTGGTATTGCACCACCACCTAGTGGTAACAACATCCACAATCCTGGCTTTAAGGTTTTGGTGGTTTTTTTTTTTTCTTCCTTTTTCCTCCCCAGAAACGATCCCAGCCTCTGGAGTTTATCGATCCCCTGGCCAACAAAAAGCCCAGGATCTCCCATTTGGCTCACAGAACTCAACCCACTTTCAATGGGAAACTGAACTCCTCCAACGGGAAGGACGCCCCTGCCCCTGCCCTGCCACCGGCTCTCCCGGAGTCGGTGAGCTCCAGCTCCAGCCTCCCGGTGCTGGAGCTGCCGAGGCCTCACGATCCCCTTTCGGATGTCAGCAATGACCTGACTCACAACGGCAGAGACTGTGAGAACCCGGAGACGGCTGACAGACTGACTCATCCTTTGTCAACAGACTGTCCCCAAACGAGCAAGCACAATTGCAGCTCGTATGTAAAAACCAAGAAAAAATCCAAAAAGCACAAAGACAAGGAAAAGGAGAGGAAGGAGAAGAAAAGTGAAGAGAAATGCAAAGAGGAGAAGCAGGACTGTGAAGTAGTAAAAAATGCTGACTTAGTTAGTGTTCCCCAGGAGCAGGTCACAGGTATGTATGGTCCGAGAGGTCCTCCTGTATGGCTTGTGCTAAGGTGATACTGGTTCGGGCTGTCTGTGATTTCTGCTCTGAATCTGTGTGAGGAAGGAGGTTGCGTGTCCACTTGCAGAGGCTGTGTGGTTAACGAAATAACATCGCTGCCCCTACCTACAAATCAACAAATGCGCTTCCTCTCAAAAGAGGATATCAGGTTTTTCCTGTTTAACCTTTCATGCTGTTTGGAACTGCCTCAGACCGTGTCATGTTTCTCCTTGTTAAATTAAAAGCCATATTAATAGATGGGGATGAAAGGCAGACATCAAGATCTGTTGGAAAAAGCAGTGCTGGTTGATTACTTACAGCTCTTCTGCTTGTGTTTGGTATTGTGATGACTGTTGTATTGATTTTTAACTCGGTAATGAAAAGTTAGTCACAAAAGCTTTTAATATTGGATACAAAAGAAATGATAGATAAGTCTTGTGATAAATGCTGTTAAGAGCAAATTAAATTTCATTTTGGATCCATCTTGTTCTCCTTTGCCCCGTTACTACTTTCTAGGTTCCTCTTCGTGCTTGGTGCGTGAAAAACATCCCATTTTGGCTCAAAAAAGGACAGTGACTTGAAATGAAAGCTGTTTGTCAAATTCCTGGAAAGGGAGATCTTCCTAGGGCCTTGGGGTTAATATGGTTCTAGCTCTCGCCTTCCCCACAGTCTTCGTAGCACCTCCAAAATGCCTTTTGGTTGCTGACCGGCGATCTCTAATGACAGTCCATAGTTCTGATCATTGTGTGGCACTGCAGAACCTCGTTCTTTGGATCCTTCTTCTTCTTTGATCCTACTTTTGTGTCAATCCTAGGGTTTTTTTTTTCTGGAAATGTTGTTTTTCTTCACCATGTACCTTGTCTCTTGAGTGGTAGTGGGTACACACACACACACTGTGGCTCTAGATACGCGTTTTTGTCAGTGTTTCTGAAAAATACCGAAATACCCCGAATTCTTTCTTTGTGAAGTTGCTGACCCTTTGCCACCTTTTCTGCTTTGCTCTAAAAACAGTTTAATGACTGGCTTTTTGTTAATTAGTAGGAGTTGGGTTTTGTTCCTGCTGCACCGCTGATGTATGTGAGGTAACGAATCTGAGCTGGACTTGGGAGTAATCATAAACAGGATGTGGTCAGTGGCTGCTTGGCTCTCACGCAGCCAGCTCGCATCTGAACTGGGATCTTTTCCTTCTGCACTTTACTTCATGCGGGCAGCAGGGGCCTAATCCTGCTCCTTCTGTCTGCAGCCCACGGCTGACAGCCTTCCCTAAGTCCCCCTTGGGCCAGGGGCAGCAGGGAAGCAGAGTTTCTCCTGAGAGGTTGGTTCAAGAGGCGGTGGAAGGACCTTTGGGGGCCTTTCAGCAGTCAGTAGGTGGCACTCATAAGCAAATTAAACCTTTTCTCCCTTTCTCCTCCACAATTTTCCTTACCCACGTTCTGCATCTTTCGCGCTGCCGGTCAGGTAAGGACGAAAGCAGAATTGTCTGCAAGTGCCTTTTTTTTTTGAGATGCAATTGGAATTTGTTTGTAATGACACCGGCTCTCTGCCGTTCTTCCATTCTGCTCAGGAAAGCCTTTCAGTGGAAATTCAGAGAAAAATTGCTTTTTCAGAAAGATATAATTAGGTTATTGCTTTTACATGCTTATGCTTGTTACTTGGCCGTTCCGTGCTCCCTACGGTTTGTCTGGGGTAATAGTTGTAAAGCAGTAGGTGAGCGTAGGGGTGGGTGAGTCTCGAGGCTCACACGTACCGTTCCTGTGCAGCTGGGGAAGTTGCACAATCAAGGCGCTGCTTGCTCTGAGCGCCAGGCTTGGAAAGAAGAAATACACTGCTGCGAAGCCGCTGAGTGAAATCCTTTGCAGCCTTCTCCCGTTGCCTCTTATTTGGTGCCTTCTCGTGGATGCACTTGTCTTTGTGATGAGGGCTTTCAGAATAACACACAGTGGATGAGAAATTTCCCTTTTCGGACCTGTGTCCAATGGCTTTCCTCCTCCAAACTAACAGTGCAGCGTTCGGTTCGCACTGAGGCAGGGGTCTGGTCACGTTCAGAATCTCGTTCGTCCTGAGGTCTTTAATCCCTTCACTTAAACTCCTGAGCATTCTTAGCTGAGCCTGGCTTGATTCATGTTTCTTCAGCTTTGTAGAGCAGAGAGCACTTTGGTTTGTCTGCAGGGCCGGAGGGCTGTGTGAGGAAAAAGCTGCCCGCCTCACACACCTCTCTGTTGTACCCGGTAGGAGCCTGGAGTATTAATGGTGGGAATCCGAACCTGGTGGTTTAATAGTGGGAATCTTTATAGTGTAGAATCAGGAGGAAAGAATGTGCACCTTGCTCAGCTCTTTGTTCAGCTCCTCTGGACTCATAAATCTGTTCTGCACTTTAGCAGTGGCCATATCAGTGTTGTCCCACCCTGCAGGCAGCGTTTGTAAACCCATTAATGAAGGTGTTTTTGCTGCTCGGCTCAAGGCTGAGAAGCCTTGAAGTTTCAGCCACCTTGTTGTGGATCTTTTATCTTTGTCAGTTCAAAGCGGAACAGAAATCGTTTAGAATTGGATAAAACTGTATATTGCAGATAAGTTTGTGAATTTGAAGTTTAATTGCATAGAGCTTTAAAGTTTGAGAATGTCTGTAAACAAGTTTTTATTTTTTCAGGTTTAAATGGAACATGCAATAATTCTAGCGTACCAACATCAACTTCAGAAATGCCAGATTATTTATTGTAAGTATATTTATATCAGTTGCTTCATCACTTTGGGATCATGTTTCAAGCTAAAAATCACAATGTACTGATGGTTTTTGTTGGGCTTTGCTGTTACTTGATAGAACTTTGTGGCTTTTTAAAAAAAAAAATAATAATAAAAAAAAGGAGTAAATCCAACTTTGCAGGGAGTTGCTGAGGCTAAACGTGATACCAGATCTGTTCTTCACCTCCTCATGGAGTTCAAGGTTATCTTCCTACAAAATGATCGTTAAAGTACTTCAAGAAACTTTGCATACCTTGGAGGGGTTTGAAAGGATTAAACATCCCCATGTTACAGTTGGAAACTTTGAAAGGAAATTATCTGCTTTTAATGTTGTGGAAGACGGGGCAAGAAAGGATTTTGAGAGGTTAGCTAATTCTTCCCCTATTCAGAGCCAAGATCATCTACATAAACCCGTGAAATGTTCTTCATGGGGAGGTTGTAACCCGTGGGTTAGGATGGGAGTTGTTTCACCTCTTGACTTTTTAATCAGATCCCCTCGAGGTTAATTAAACAATATACTTGTCTGCCGAAGCACAAAAATCCCTGTGCATAAAGCCAAAAATCTGCATAAAACCAAACCTGTTGTCAACAAAGCTCTACGATAGCGAAAAAGTGTAGCTGTGGGTGATATCCCCGGTGCACGGCTCAGCCTGGGGGTTTTAGCGCCACCAGATCTGGTTTGGCTGCGCTGTGATCCCTGGGTCCACTCTTGGCTCTGCAGGAGCAGTCACCGGAGTGGACTGGAGGGGATGTGTGGGGTTCTTGCGTGGTTACAAAACGGGTTTGCTGGGCTGTAGGAACCGTACAACCCACCACGTGGAGGCGGCGTTTCTCGTACCGTTCGGAAGGTGGCGGCTGGCTGGGGTTTGGGGTTTTTTTTTCGTGCAACAGATGTGCTGATCCCTCCTATAGAGGGGAATTGCAGCTCCTCAGACCAGCTCCGAAGAAATCGTGTTAAGGTTTATGAACTCCTGTAAGGTCCCTTGTCTCACCTTTTGGTAGGATCTGACTGTTTCGATGGCCAGCTTCTTAAATTGTAAGAGCTGCCACTGCTCTGTTGATCATAGAGGTGCGTGTTTCATACTGGTGAGGAGAACTTCCTTATCTCGTGGCAGTATGTCCTATGTAGTTGCCTATTTATACCAACCCCTAGCGAGGAGTCAGTTCTTGAAGGCTGGAGCACGCTTAGGTTAACAGAGTGAAGGTTCTCCCATAATTTGATACCTAAGTTAGCTTGTACGTGCTCATCCACCGAGCTGGTGCTGCTGCAGACAGAGCAAGGTGGCAAATTAGAGTCAGCACCTACAAGAAGAGGAGTTTTGCCATCAGAGAGGACTGGCTGCTGGGCTTTCTGCAAAAAAAGCCGGGTTTAATGGCTTTTTGGTGAGCTGAATAACTTTCAAAGGGCCTCAAAGGCGCATCTGTTAAACAGGAGCTCTTGTGTTCAGTTCACGTTGGGTATCTTCAGAAGGTAGTGGAAATACAGTCGGTCTATTCAACGTCAATTCTTGTCGTGCTCTTGCCACATAATCGTACTGTGAGCGTTTTGCAACGATAGCTGAATGCTTTTTGTGTTCCTTTAAAGACTCTTTAACACTGGAAGCAT